GGTCATGGAAAAGAATGGGTTCTCGCCATCTGCAGCGGCATGGATAAATCTGAAGGATATTGTGCTGAGTGAAATATGTCAGTCAGGGAAAGACAGCTGCAATGTAATTTTGCTTATATGTGGAATCCAAAGAACAAAATAAACAAATAAAACAGAAACAAACTCACAGATACAGAGAAAATTTTGATGGTTGCCAGATGGGAGGGAGGTTGGGAATGGGTGAAAAAGGGGAAGGGATTAAGAATTACAAATTGGTTGTTACAAAGTAGTCATGGGGATGTAGGGTATAGCATAAGGAATATAGTCAATAATATTGTAATAACTATGTATGGTGTCAAATGGGTATTAAATTTATTCAGGTGATAGATGGGAGAAGGGTTGGGGGACAGGGTAAGAAAGATGAAGGCATTAAGAAGTACAAATTGGTAGTCACAAAATAGTCACGGGGATGTAAAGTAAGGCATAGGGAATATAGTCAATAATATGGTAATAACTGTGTTTAGTGCCAGGTGGATACTAGGCTAGTCTGGGGGGTGGGGGGAATCACTTCTTAAAGTATACAAATATCTAACCACTATGATATACACCTGAAATTAATATAAAATAATATTGAATGTCAACTGTAATTGAAAATTTTTAAAAAGGGGGGGAGATGAAAGGGAATAAGAGGTTCAACTTTCCAGGTATAAAACAAATAAGTCATGGAGATGTAATGTACAGCATGGGGGATATAGTCAATAATATTGTGATAGCATAGTACAGTGTCAGATGGTTGTTGGACTTATGGTGATTCACTTCTTTAGGTAATGTTGAATAACTGTTGTGTACACATGAAACTAATATAATATTGTATGTTAGTTATATTTTAATAAATATCTTATTAAAAAAGAAATGAATAAATTCCTAGAAACATACACCTACCAAGGCTGAATCATGAAAAAATAGAAAATGTGAACAGACCAATAACGAGTAAGAAAATTAGTAATCAAAAATCTCCCAACAATAAAAATCCATAACCTGATGACTTTACTTGTGAATTCTACCTAACATTTAAAGAAGAATGCCAATCCTTCTTAAAATCTGCCCAAAAATTTGAGAAGGAACACTTCCAAATTCATTTTACAAGGCCAGCATTATCCTATTACCAAAGCCAGAAAAAGGCACTACAAGAAAATTACAGGCCAATATCCTTGACAAAAATAGATGCAAAAGTCCTCAACAAAATATTAGCAAACAGAATTCAACAGCACATTAAAAGGATCATACACCATGATCAAGTGGGATTTATCAAGTAGAATGAAAGGATGGTTCAATATATACAAATCAATTAATGAGATATACCACATTAACAGAATGTAGGATAAAATCACATGCTAATCTCAACAGATGAATAAAAAGCACTTGACAAAACAGAACATTCTTTCATGATAAAAACTCTTAACAAATGAAGCATAGAAGGAATGTACCTCAACATAACAAAGGCCATATATGAAAAGCCCACAACTAACAGCATACTCAATGGTGAAAAGTGAAAACTTTTCCTCTAAGATCAGTAACAAGACAAGAATGCCCACTCTCACCACTCCTATTCTACATAATACTGGAAGTCCCAGCCAGATAAATCAGGCAAGAAAAAGAAATAAAAGGCACCAGATTGGAAAGAAAGAGGTAAAACTGTCTCTATTCGCAAATGACATGATTTCCTACATAGAAAATCCTAAAGATGCCTCCAAAAATCTGTTAGAACTGAAACAAATCCAGTAAAGTTGCAGGATACAAAATCAACATACAAAAATCAATAGCACTTCTATACACTAGCAATATTATCTGAAAAAGAAATAAAATGATCACATTTACAATAGCATCAAAAACCATAAAATACTTAGGAATAAATTCAACCAAGAGGGTGAAAGATATCTACACTGCAAAATATGACATTAATTAAATAAATTAAAGAAGACATAAAAAAGTGGAAAGGTAACCCGTGTTCACGGTCTGGAGAATTAATATTGTTAAAATGTCTATGTTACCCAAAGCCATCTATAGATTCAATGCAATCCCTATCAAGATTACACTAGCGCTTTTTACAGAAGTAAAAAAAAAAAATCCTAAAATTTATATGAAACCATAAAAGACCCCAAGTAGCCAAAGCACTCCTGAGAAAGAACAAAATGGGAGGCATCACACATCCTGATTTTAAGCTATATTATAAAGCTACAGAAATAAAACCTAAGGTAATGGCATAATAGCAGACACACTGACCAATGGAACAGAATTGAGAGTCCAAAAATAAACCCATGCACATATGGTCAACTAATATTTCACAAGGGAGCCAAGAATACTCAATGGAGAAAAGGCAGTCTCTTCAATAAATGATGTTTGGAAAACTGAACATTTGCATGTAAAAATGAAACAAGACCCCTATCTTATACCACTCACAAAAATAAACATCAAATGGGTTAAAGATTTAAATGTAATACTGAAAACCATAAAACTCCTAGAAGAAAATAACTCCTTGACATGGGTCTTCACAATCATTTTTTGTATATGACACCTAAAGCACAAGAAACAAAATCAAAAGTAAATAAGGGGACTACCTCAAACTAAAAAGCTTCTGCACTGCAAAAGAAACAAAAACAAATGAAAAGACATTCAGAGAATGGGGGAAAATTGCAAATCATATACTTGATAAGGGGTTACTATCAAACATATATAAAGAACTCAATAGCAAAAAAACAAAAATCCAATTTAAAAAATGGGCAAAGGATATGAATAGACATTTTTCCAAAGAAGATATACAAATGGCCAAAAGGTACATGAAAAGGTGCTCCAAATCACTCATTATCAGGGAAATGCAAATCAAAAGCACAATGAAATATCACCTCACATCTATTAGAATGTCTATAATCAAAAAGACAAGAGATAACAAGTGCTGACAAGGATGAAAGGGACCCCTGTACATTGCTCGTGGAACTGTAAACTGGTATAGCCACTATGGAAAACAGTATAGAGGTTCTTCAAAAAATTAAAAATAAAACCATCATGTGATCCAGCAATTCCACTTCTGGGAATATATCCAAAGGAAACAAAAAAACACTATATCAAAGAGCTATGTGCACATCCATGTTCACAGCAGCATTATTTACAATAGCCAAGACATGGGAATGACCTAAATGTTTTATATATATACACGTACATATACACATACACACATACACACACACACACACACACACACACTGGAATATTATTCAGCCGTATTAAAAAGAGGAAACCCTGACATTTGTGACAACATGGATGGACCTTGAAAGCATTACACTAAGTGAAATAAGTTAGACAGAGAAAGACAAATAATGTATAATCTCACTTATATGTGGAAAAAAAAGAAAAGATTTGTGATTAGCAGAGGTGGAGTAGGGGGGTGGGGAATTGGATAGAGGTGGTCAAAAGGCACCAACTTCAAATTACAAGATAAATACATACTAGGGATGTAATGTATAATATCATGACTATAGATAACACTGTTGAATGGTATATTTGAAATTTGTTAAGACAGTAAATCCTAAGAATTCTCATCACAAGGAAAAAAATGTTTTTCTTTTTTGTATCTATATGAGATGAAGGATGTTAACTAAACTTATTGTGGTAATCATTTCATAATATATGTAAATCAAATCATTGTGCTTTATACCTTAAACTTACACAGTATTGTCTGTCAATTATATTTCAAGAAAACTGGAAAAAAAAGAATGTCAGGAGTAGTCAAAGACAAGGAAGGATTCTTTCCTCTTCTACTGAAACAGTAGGATAAAGGCAAACATGCATGTTACTATTGCAGGTAAAGAGAAAGCCATTTAGTCATTCCTTTGAAAGACAATTATTGAACACAGAAAATTTTCAAAAGTACTGTGCTAAGACAAAGGGAAAACAAAGACAAGTAAGACATAATCCTAGCCCTTGAAGAGCCTGAAATATGTGGGCACAGAATGACATAACTATATAAAACAAGAACAAAGTGCTATGAGAATACTTATATACAGTAAGGTCACCTTTGCATTATGAAAGATGTGTGAGATTTTCCATAGGTGGAGAAAGGCATTAAATGGACAAAACACAGTCAACAAATGCAAAGATGCTTGATATTCAAAGTGCATGTTATCTGGCTGTTGAACAGTGATTAAAAGAACAGGATTTGGAATCATACAAAATAGACGTAGGTTTGAATTCTAAGCATTTCTACTTCTTTATTATGTGATCTTGATCTAAATAACCTAACCTCTGTAAAAATGAAGATGATAAGTATTGTTTATAGCATTGTTGTAAGGATTAAATTAGATTTAAGTGGGGTACTCAGCATAGTGCCTGTCATATACAAAGGAATAAAAAGTATTTGTCATTTTAAAGTATGAGTCAATTCACTTTGTGAATTGCAAAACACTACAAAAATATAAGACATTGTTTTCTCCTGAAACATGATGAATAGCTAAAAGAAATATCTAAATATACAAGCAGAGATAATATTTCTCAAATACTTATATCTAAAAGCACTGTTACTCCTAAAGTCTACCTATATTTATATGTGTATAATAATAGGGGTGCCAAAAAATGTGTACAAGTGGATACTTTGGTCAATGTTGCTCAAGCAGTAGTTCGCCATAATCAGAAGTGTCTGGACGCTGATGGTAACCACTTTGAGCACCTCTTGTAATTGCAGAAGTCAAACGTGACTTGTATTCATCTTTGGTTATCGGTATATATTGAGTATTACAATTTTAATACAGTTTTCCTTTCTCAAAATTTGTATACATTTTTTGACACCCTCTGTATTTAAATAAGTCAATATGCTAAATATTTCTCAAACAAAGCTAATGGGGGAAAAACTATTTTTAATCCCTAGTTACCCAAATGTATCATATTATTTCTAATATGACATGTTTATGCCAACACAAAGTTGCACCTAAAGTTTATGATTAGTTATTTCACAATGCCACAAAACCTACTTTTTCCTCTCTTTCTATTTCAAGTTGTTTCTTAACAGACGAAAGTTCATTTTTGAGATTAGATAGTTCAATCTCCTAAAGAAAAAGAAACATGAAGTTTGTAAGTGCATATAATTGCAAACTAGTGTTTCAAAAACATTTAGTTTTATAGAGAAATATGTTCACTCATAAAATAGATACACTTTAAAAGCCTACTGATATGGAGGCTGATAGTTAAACATAACTAAAGATTTCATTTAGACAAATTTTTTATAGTTTGCTGTAAAGAAATATTTAACACTATGTAACTTTCCTCCTCATCCTTTCACATTCTATCCCATCCTTCCTCTCCCAATCTCAATCAGAGCTCCAAACTTATTTGTAACTTAGAGTTTATAATTTTTCATTTGAAAAAAAAGTTCATCCTATCATTTCAAAAACTAAATTAGAAACCCACTTAACTAAAAGGTCTATAAGATCCCTTTCAGATCTCAGATTCTTTGATTCTATAGATAAAAAATTATGGTTTTATTTAATATTATTCTTTAATATTGTTGACATGAAAATTGGCTTTTATGACTATTTGTTCTATATCTCACCAAAGATGCTTTCTCTGATAACTGTTCTTGTTCTTTGTTCTTATAAAGTCCTAATTCTGAGTCTCTTTCTTCAACGATTTTATCATATTGGTGCTATATTAAACAGAAAAAACATTTTAAGAATATTAGAACCCAAACAGATTATGTTTTAATATGACTGGAATCCTTGAGCACTTAATATGTGAAGAAAATGATGTTTATGAATTCAGTAATATATATATTTGAGCGTTTTTTTTTAAATTTTCAATTACATAAACAATGAAACATAAAATAACTATCTTGGAAATAAACTATAAGAACTAAAAAAGAAATAATCCTTTTTAATTGGAGACACTGAATTTCATAATTTTAAAAACAGGCTAGAATCACCAGGACCTCTTAGAAAACTGGACAATTCCATATCTGGGGCAGGAAATAAAAGATGAGTCAAACGTTTTGTCATAACAGAAAGCAAGTAAGCTATCATGGACTTTAAGGTCAAGTCAAAAGAATTTGCCAGCCAGTATGAAGAGGCTCTCACTGGCCAAAAATGAGACAATTTGAGTATCAACAAGGATAAAAAGTGTATTGGATTGAGACATACCAAATATGTTTAAACCTTTGAGTTCATAAATTTACTTTGAAAGTTTTTTTAAATCCTTACTGGTTATCTCATAATGTTATATCCCAGCAACAATTTTTAAAGATGAATAGGTAAGTATAGCCCACCTTCTTTCCAAACCTTGAAGGAAATAAGGCTTAATTCGCTAACAGACTCAGAATGATTACTTTAAAACAACAAAATAAATAGAGCACATTTGCAAACACAACAAACATTAAGCTTTTCATATATTTATTCCACTGATAAAAATTTATTTAGCTTCATGCATGTTAGACACATAGAGGACACATATTAACAAGATACATATCCTACGTATGTACTCAAATAAAGATGAAAAGTGCTGTAAGAGACTACTAGGAAAATTCAGATAGTGATCATTTCCATCCATCATAGACGATAAGGAGAGATTTCCTCAAAGAAGTTACACCCCACCTCAGCTTTGTGTGGTTAAGATTCAAACTTGGAGAAATGGGAGATCAAGGGTTTTCTAGCTATAATTAGTCATTGGTGCACAGACAAGAATTTTCTCTGACAAACCAGAATGCTATCTTAATTTCACCATTTTCACGTGTAAGTATGGCTCTAATAATTTTCATTACACACAAAAAAAAATTACCTTATGTTTTTCCATGAGTGCTACCATTTCAGCTATTTTATGTTGACATCGTATATCAATTTCTTTCTGTAATTTTACTGCTTCATCGGCTATTACTTTTGCTTTCTCAACCTATCAAATCAATTAAAAGTGTTTCTTAAAATTAATGCACAAAAAATTAACTTAAATGTAGAGACCATATGCTCTATTTATATAAAACACAGAAATAAAACACCAGGAAATTAGGAAAGCCAAGTATAAAATGCATTACTGTTTTGATTTATTTTAGGGTGCTCTATCAAGTGAGATGACAGTATAACAATGTAATGATCATTTACTCTTTTCAAAATAATTATACACTACTCAATCCTCAAATACTTAGAATAACAAGTATACTTTTAGCTTCTGTAAGAAATTAACTGTCCCAAATATAATTTATTAAATCTTTTAAAAAATCATAATTTAAAAATTAAGAATTTTTTTCTTAAAATGTTAATAAACAAATATAGAGTTTTAGTATAACAAATTCTCAAACATATTTAGTTTTTCCTACCTCTCCCAAAAGATTTTCTTCAATTATCTTTCTGTCCTCAATTTCTTTTTGATAGCTGTCAGTCATTTCTTTATATTTTTGTTTGGCACCTTCTAGTTCTAACTCTAATTTACGGACCTTTGTGTAAAGAAAATAGCATGAACATTAGCAAATGCTGTGGATTTCTTGAAAATATTCTGTATTCATTTTGTGATTTTGTGTCTCTTGAAAGATTACTTATTCATGGTTGGATCGTTTTCCTTAGTTTTCATATGGTGAGGTGTACTTATTTTTCACAAAATCTATCTTCTCCCCTAAAATACATACTTAGACTTGACAAGTAATATTTTAAAAAGCAGCTGTATTTTAATTTTTAATGAATTCCTTAACAATATTTAAATTATTTAGTCTCTGTTCAGTATGTTTTACTATAATAAGTAACTTTTCCATTTGGACAAAACACTCATGATTCAAGAAAAAAGCTCATTCTTTAAAAAAAAATCTTTATTGAGGTGTAACTAATATACAAAAAACTACACATATTTAATTATTCAATTTGATGAGTTTTGACATATGCATACACCCATGAAACCATTACCACAACCAAGGTATATCCATTTATCCCATTGTTTTTAATAAGAGATCTACCCTCTTAATAAAATTTTAAGTGCACAATACATTATTGTTAACTACAGGCACTATGTTGTATGGCAGATCTCTAAAACTAATTTATCTTGCATAACTGAAACCTTATACAAATTGAGGAACAACTTATTTCTCCTTCCCTCCAACCCCGATCATCACCATTCTAATCCTTACTTCTATAAGTCTATTTTAGGTACCTCATATAAATGGAATTATGTAGTATTTTTCCTGCTGTGACTGGCTTTTGCTGTTGAATAAGAAGTGTTCTTTATAGGGCCGACCGAGTGGCGTGTTGGTTAAGAGCTGGCTTGGGATACCAGAGGGCCCCGGTTCGGATCCCACATATGAGGGCCAGTGACACTGCCCTCTACAGCTAAGATGCTGAACAACAACTCAACCTGGAGCTGGGCTGCCATGAGTCACCAGCGACGGCATAGGTTGCCATGGGGCTACCGTGTGTAGCCAGCAGCCACCATGAGCGGCCATCCAGAAGCCGGCGACTGATCTGCCTCACCTGGGAAGAGCGCAATGATGGTGCCAACTTGGGCCAGTGAAGCAACGTCCTCCACAACTAGACTGAAGAACAAAACGACAGCAACTTGTCTGTTCCCCTTCCCCCAATTCCCCAGCGCTGTTCCCATCCTTCAATTCCCCAATTTTAAAAAAAAAAAAAAGAAATGTTCTTTATATATTCTAGATATTAGATCATTACCAAATATATGATTTACAAATATTTCCTCCCGTTCTGTAGGTTGTCTTCTCACTCTTTTGGTAGTGTCCTTCAATCAAGATAGTGAAAAGATTTCAATGCAATCTCTATCAAAATTCTAACTTTTTATCAGAAATGGAGAAACTGTCACAAAAAGACAAATACTATATTTTTCTACTTATATGAGGTACCTAGAGTAGTCAAATTCATAGGCCAGAGAATGGTGGTTGCCTGTGACTGTGAGAAGGAGAGAATGGGGAGATGTTTAATGGGTATAGAGTTTCAGTAGTACTAGATGAAGAGAATCCTGGGAATTGATTACAGAACAATGTAAAAGAACTGTATAGTTTAAAAAAGATTAAGATGTTATGTATATTTTACCACAATAAAAATTTTAAAAAGTGAGTAAAATACTTCAGCAGACACTTCACAAAGGAAATGTACAAATGACTAATTAGCTCATGAAAAAATGTTCAACACTATTTATAAGAAATGAAAAATAAAACCACAATGGGATATCATTATACCTATGATCAAGACCAGCTACATAATTTGCAGGGCTGAATGCAAAATGAAAAGAGGGGGGACACCTAGTTCAAAAACTATTAAAAATTTCAAGATAACAACAACAGAGCAGAGCAAGGAAGTTATATGACTACACAGGTCCCATGCCCATGAAGCTGGGCTCTGCCCACAAGAATGACTGAAATTAAAAAGACTGTGAACACCAGATGTGAGTGAGGATATGGACTAACCAAACCTCTCATACATTGCTATTAGAAGTGTAAAATCACTTTGGAAAATGATTTGGCTGTTTCTTATATAACATATATCTACTCTATGACCCAGCAATTCTTTTCCTAGATATTTATTTCTCTTAAAAATAAAAACATGTCCGCTAAAAGCCTTGTACAAGAATGTTCATAGCAGCTTTATTGATAATGATAAAAAAAAACTGGCAACAATTCAAATGTCCAGGTAAACAAATTAGTTATATTTATACAGCGGAATATGACTCAGCAATAAAAAAGACTTATTGATACCTACAAGAACATGGATGAATCTTAGAATATGCTGAGCAAAATAACCCATATAACAAGAGACTATATTTGGCATGGTTCCATTTAAATGAAGTTTTAAAATAGACAAACCAATGTATAGAGACAAAAAAGAAAAACATTGGTTGTCTCTGGGGAATGGGGTTTAGAATGCAAAAGGACATGAGGAGAACAAAATGTGGTACACATATACAATGGAATATTACTTGGCTGTAAGAAAAGATGAAACACTGCCATTTGCAATAGCACGGATGGATCTTGAGAATATCACAGATGTCGAAATAATTCAGACAGATAAAGTTGAGAACCATATGATTTCACTCCTATGTGGGATATAAAACTGAAAGCAACAAATGAACAAGATAAACAAACAAAAACTCAAAGACACAGACAACAGTTTAATGGTTACCAGAGGGTAAGGAGGGAGGAGAGGAGATAGAGGAGGGTAAAGGGGATCAAATAATATGTTGATAGAGAACTGACTCTGGGGGTGAATACACAATGCAATATATAGATGATGTATTATAGAATTGTACACTTGAAATATATAATTTTACTAACCAATGTCACCCCAATAAATTTAATATAAATTTTTAAGAAGGACATGAGAAAACTTTCTGGGATGATGGAAATGATCCTATATCTTGACTCTTGTTACATGGTTGTAACAACATTTATCAAATCTCATCAAACTGTATACTTAGAATCATGCATTTTATTATATGTAAACTGTACCTCAAGGAATTGGGGAATAAGATGACAAACCAAATATAGCCTTGACCATCATGAGCTCACATTCCAGGATTTTAATTTGTTTTCTAAAAAGTCAATGGTTGTCAAAACCCTTGTGCAGCAGCACAACCATATGGAACTTTTTTAAAATGCAGATTCCAAGGCTCCATCCCAAACCTACTCAACCTCGATATTCAATGTATGGCTAAGGAGTATGAATACAATCACACACATACACTCACATTTTTAAGCTGCTTAGATGATTTTAACACAGCTTAGTCACAGATGAGCACTCTATTACAACTGAAAGGGTTGATTCTCACAATCTCAAAGATGATGTTTGAAAATAACTGCTACAATGTAAAGGGTATAAAATTCCTAATCTCTCTTCTATTTACTTGTATTTTAAAAATAAAAATAAAGATTCCAAATACCTTAATCTCATAAACATTCAGTTGCTTGCTTTCTGCTGTACCCCTTTTTTTTAAGGCCTTATTCTGTTAAAAGTTAAAAATAAATAATTATGTTTAGTACCAAAGTGATTCAAACTTGTACTGCCACCTGACTTAGACTGAAATTACTAAAGAAAAAGAAAGCATTATTCTCTAAAACTGCAGTGAAAAAACATTTTTTTAATAGTTTGATATTGAGAATCAATACATACCTCCTGTTGGAGTTCTTCAATATGCTTGGTTTTATTTTCAACTTGTTTCCTTAAATTGTTACACTAAAAAATACATAAGAAATTTTATTTATTTTATTCAATATTCCAGTCAAAATAAGTAATTTCAAAGTAATAAAAATATTACATAAAATAACAGAGGTCACTTCAAAAATCATGTTATTAAATATTACATTAATGTCTAAATTTGTGAACAATTACAAATTTTAATAAAGACTATCTCAATACAAATTTAAAATTTTAATTCCTAATCTACTTAACATTTGAATTCAACTAGTTTAAAAACAAAGTGCTATACACACACACACACACAGGGGGTGCCAATAAAATGTATACACATTTTAAGAAAGGAAAAGACTATTAAAATTAGGCTGATGGTAACCACTTTGAGCACTCTTGTGATTGCAGAAGTCAAACAGACTTGTATTCTTCTTTGTTATTGGTATATACTGAGCATTACAATTTTAATACGGTTTTTTCCTTTTTTAAATTGTGTATACATTTTTTTTGACACGGTGTGTGTGTGTGTGTGTGTGTGTGTGTTTATGTTTGTATGTCTGTGTTAAATGTACTAAAATGATAATGACATCAGAAATACCAATATTAAATGTCATTTTGACTCCCATTTCACCCTTCCTTCTTTCTGAATAAGCTAATGAAAATTAACGTAACTTAAGTTTTCAATCCTTTCAATTTAAATAATCTCAAAACTTAGGACAAATTAAGATAAATATATTTTGTGGCACACTCAGAAATTATTGAAAAGATTTTAAACTATCACAGTTCATTTTTAAGTAAAATAACTCTTGTGCATAAAAACTAAGAATTATATTCACCAGAATTCTAGGTAGAAAAAAATTGGTGTTGATTATTAGAGGTCAGAACTTCAGAAAGTGAACTATACTTTTCAGAGGATTACTTGCTATACAGAAATTCAAGTTTAGAACCAGTGTGTGGTGAGGTGCAGAGAAAGAAGAAGTGAGTTGAGCTGGGCAGCCAGGCAGTAAAAACACTTCACATGAACAAAGCAGAAATTTTTCTGCAGCTCTCTTGAGATGGGAGAGATGCCTAAGAATGACTTTTCAAAGCACCTTCCACTCCTAAAGATACCCACAACAAAGGCAGCTGCTGAAAGTATCAACTTTGGGGAAAGGGAAGAGATGGTTAAAGAATTTAATGAAATTTTGCTCTTTGAAACATTGTGCAAAACTCCTGAACCCACAGCTTCTTCAAAGAAACCAACACTTAAAAACTCTGTATTATTCCTCAAAGCCGTCAAGAGTCAATTAAGTTTCTTTGTGTAAAAGCTGTTAAAAATGTAAAGACTCTCCCTAAAGAATCTAGTCATCCATATATTGTTATAAAGTCTCTATTCCCAAACATTTTTACAATTTGACAGTACCTTGTTTTCTAATATCTTCACTTGTTTATCTTTTTTCAAAACTTCACATTCAATGCTTCGAGCCTAAAAAAACATTATTTGACGTCAGATTAACAGTGTTAACAGAATTACTATTTCCTTCTACAAGTATCTTTTAGAAATGGAATTATAAAACTCAGTCTTGTCTCTACAAAAAAAGTTAAGTTTTCCCAGTTTATTCCAGTATCCTTTCTTTAAAAATCGTCTTTGTGTTAATGTTTACATATTAATGTTCATCATTCTTATCTTAACCCACTATCACTTTGCAATATTTTCAGCTTTCCCAATTTACCTTAAATTTTTAAAAACTGTCTTGTATATAAATGTTTATAATCTTTTAAATATAATACATCTTTCACAAACATTTATTAATATGAACCTTGTAACAACCCAATAACATAGAAAGGATAGGTATTACCTCCATTTTAGAGATGAGGAAATGCAATGAATTTCAACGTCAAGACAAAATATCTGAGAAATATTTGCAATTTGGAGAGACTGGAAAACTGTTTCAATAGGTAAACTGAAATCTAACAACGTAAAGTTTAAATATGCTAGCAACTTGTCTTTTTTTTTTCTCCTTATTTCATCACTAGTATTTTCTACATTGGTAAAATAAATTTACATTCTTAGTGGAGGATTTTTATTTTACATTCAACATCAAATTCATGTTTTTCCCTATCACAAACAAGATAAGTGTTTTGAAGCAGCCTCTGATATAAATTTTAAAGTTGTAAATTACATACTACATCTTGAGAAATTCAAATTCATTTTTCCTGGTTGAATTTAATAAAGATGAAACTGAAAGAAATAGCTTTTTGAGAGGAAAATGTTAGGAATAGTCTAAAGAATGTTAGAAGGCCAGCTCTACTATCAGGTTGTCGGAAAAGTCATGAATGCATGTTTGTGACAGATGGCACTAGTTCATTTTTAGAAGGACTAGAGTCATTCGCATCTATGTTATTGCTATGTCATTTGACAGCTGACAGTTCTAGCTTCAATCTAAAAACAAATTGAGCGATTTGGTTGAGTTTTGGAGATATTACAACAAGTTGAATATGGAAGACCAAACTGTGCATTTTTGCCATATTTTACTGTTTTACTTCCATAAAGGGAAGAACGTGCACCAAGCTTGTGAAAAGTTGCATCAAGTGTACGGTGACAATTCTCTACAAAAACATCAGTGCCAACGATGGTTCATGAAATTCCGTGCTGGTGATTTTGATCTCAATGACGCTCCTCGATCAGGGAGACACACCGAGGTTGATGACGACAAAATAAAGGCATGATCGAGACAAACCCATGTTACACGACACGAGAGATTGCAGAAACATTGAACATCCATCATTCAAGCGTTCATGACCACCTGAAGAAGCTGGGATATGTAAGCAAGCTCATATATTTGGGTTCCTCATGAACTCAAAGAAGTTCCTTTGACGGCACGTATAAACATCTGCAATATGCTCGTTAAACATGAGGAAAACGATCCTTTTTTTTTAAGATTTTTATTGGGGAATTGGGGGGATGGGAACAGTGCTGGGGAATTGGGGGAAGGAAGGGGAACAGACAAGTTGCTGTCGTTTTGTTCTTCAGTCTAGTTGTGGAGGACGTTGCTTCACTGGCCTAAGTTGGCACCATCATTGCGCTCTTCCCAGGTGAGGCAGATCAGTCGCTGGCTTCTGGACGGTCGCTCACAGCGGCTTGAGGGCTGCTCACGCTGGCTGCTGGCTACACACGGTGGCCCATGGCAACCCACTGCCACAGGGGCTGCAGCCTACGCCGCTGTGTCACTGGCCCTCATATGTGGGATCCGAACCGGGGCCCTCTGGTGTCCCAAGCCAGTTCTTAACCATCGTGCCACTCGGCCGGCCCGAAAACGATCCTTTTTTGAAGCAACTGATAACTGGTGATGAGAACTGGGCTGTTTACAACAATGTGGTGCACAAACGGTCTTGGTCCTAACGCGATGATTTGCCTCAAACGACATCGAAAGCAGACATTCATCAGAGGAAGGTTATGATCTCAGTGTGGTGGGATTTTAAAGGTGTCGTGTTTTTCGAGCTCCTACCAAGGAACCAAACAATCAATTCGAATGTGTACTGTTGGCAATTGGATAGTTTGAACGAATCCATCATCCAGAAACATCTAGAACTTGTTAACTGTAAAGGAGTTGTGTTCCATCGCAACAATGCGAGACCACACACAAGTTTGATCACCCGTCAGAAATTACTGGAACTTGGACGGTATGTGTTGCCACACCCACCATACTCGCCTGACCTTGTGCCATCAGACTTGCACTTGTTTCGCTCTCTTCAAAACTCCTTGCGTAGTATAACGTTCAATTCAGATGAGGCTATAAATCAGCACCTTGCTCAGTTTTTCACAAATAAAGACAGGTCCTTCTATGAACGAGGAATTATGAAGCTTACTGAAAGATGGCAAAAGGTTATCGAACGGGCAATATATCATTGATTGATCTTTGTTCTTTATATAAATAAATGACCTTTGAAAAACATAGACAAAATACATCATGACTTTTCTGACAACCCAATCAATACTTCTTAGCATATAGCCTTTCAAAGTTTTTTACCCTTTGGAGGTCCGATTTATTTCATAAAATTAGAAAAATTACTTCCAGTTAAATAAAATAACATATATAAAGAATCTAGAATGTTCCTGGTCCATTGTAAGCCCTTAAAAATATTAGCTCATCTCATCCTTGGACTAATTCAAGTTCCTAATGTGTAAATATAATTATGACACTACTCAGGTCAAAAGTCTTCAATAACCACAAACTCCAAAATATATCTTATGAGACCTAAGTGATTTACCCTCATCTCTCCCCACTCTTATCTTTTCCTACTCTTTCCACTATATCACCACTCTCTTAAAATCCACCACTATCTTAAAAGCCAAAATGAACTTTTTATACTTGCTTAAATATGACAGGTTCTCTCATACTTCCGAGCTATCTCAAACTTTGTATATAATGTGGTGTGTCTGTGTGTGTAACCTGGAATACTCTTATTCTCCCTGATATACTTATGTCCATTCCTCTGCCCTCATGAATTCTTCTATTAATCCAAGGTTTCAAACTTAAATGTCACTTCTTCCAGGAAGCTTGTACTAAATCAAGTTTGGATAGATGGCCCTTCTATGGTCTCCATCAGCATTTATATAGAGGATCTATGCTTTGGTCTGGCTGCAATCCTTTCCTGCAAAGACTCCTTTCGTGTAAAAACCTCAGTAGTCCTGCTCAGTCCATGTAGTTTGATGGAGGCTGATCTGTCTTCAGAAGTGGACACACAGCTCAGGCTTGGCCAGATTACTGTACCCCCTAACCACAATGATGGGCTCAGGAATAAGTAAACTAAACTAGGCCAGGATCCACTTCAAGACTTTTTTTTATAGCTCTCAATACTATTTTTATAGCCTTCCAACTGATTCCACTGCCTTTCATCTCTCCCCATTCTATTCTTAAAAATTTTTTAATGTCACTTCCCTAATAAAAAACCTTAATTGGTCACCACTGTCTACCAAAACAAATAAAATCCAAACTCAGTACGCAGAACAGTGCCAGGCACATAGTAAGTAGTCAATAATATTTGTTGAATGAATGAAAAACACAGTCAAGGTCTTTATAATCTAGCTTTATCTATTTTGGCACAATTTTTTCCCACTACGTGTGTTATATAATATAATCATCTCACAAAATTTGCATATTCCACTTTCACGATATTCTTCCATAAAAACCTTCTTCCTATCCCAACTTTTAAAATCAAATCCACCAAAGCGCAATACAAACTTATTACTCAATTTAACAGTATATTCTATATTACTAAAGCATAAGCCTTTTGTTTAGTGTAAAAAAGTAAAATAATAAATATTGAGCATTTATACAAGAAATTTAGAATTATGCCACTATTTCTTCTAGGTATATACCATATAAGCAAAATAACTGAAATTTGTCTATATGTTAAAGGTCAACAACCTAAAACAGTCCCTTAGATCACTACTTATTTATACAAAAGTATACGTCACTTTATGTTTTTTTAGACACATGGTGTTGCTTTATGATTTGAAATTTTGTGATATGATCTATTATTAAATATAACATACATTTTCTTCACTCTTGCTCAATCTGCATTTAACTTCATCTTCTTTCTGCTTTAGTTCTTCTCTCACAGATTCCAGTTCATTCCTTAAAGGAAATGAAAGAGTGACACTGTGATAAAATTTGTATTTTCATTTTATTCCCTTTCTGGATTTCTAAAATAGTTGACTATTATTTTTTGTTGGTTTACTTACTTTCATTTTGTTTGGGAATTTTCATGTATTAATACCAATATGAACTCTTCATTCCTACCTTTAAATTAATTTTTACCATCACCTGAAACTAATATAAAGTAATATTGAAAGTCAACTGTAATTGAAAATAAAAAATAAAAATAAAATAAACCCTAGAAAAAAACTTATATGTTTATTTTGAAATTAATATCTGGACCTTTTAGTCGTTTTTCCATTTAAAAAACTCCTACAAAGAAAAATTTGTTTCTATTTAAGTCAAGGTTTCACTTTACTGCTTTCTTACTCATAAATCAGTCATCATTGTAAGACACAGTCATAATTTTATACTAATAGAGACACAACTACAAGTACTTTTAATGGAAAACTACATGACTGAGATATTTGCATACACATACACCCTTATACATGTAATAGAGTATCTCTGAAAACATACACAAGAAACAGTGATACCTCTGGGGAGGGAAACTAGATAGTAGGAAGACAAAGGGGAAGAAAGATAGTTTTCTTTCTGCATGTGTTCCTTTGTCCCTTTGAATTTTGTACAAGTATATACCATCATTTCAAAAAATTTTAAGGAGAGTGGGAAAAAGATAAAGTGGGTAAAAGGGGGTCAATATATGGTAACAAAAGGAAAATAGATTTTGGGTGGTGAGCACGCAATATACAGATGTGGTATAATGATGTACACTTGAAACTTACATAATGTTATTAACCAATGTTACCCCAATAAATTCAAAAAAAATTTTTAATTAAAAATCTGTCTGTTACACATGAAAACAGTGGAGCTTTGTCTCAGATGGACACTGGAAGCTATTTGCAGTTGTAGTCTCTCTTATTACCACTAATATGTTTCTGGATCTCACCTGTATGCATGGAATAGTACTCAATCGTGTGGAATAACTGCCCTTGTGAAAACTGAATCCAGGATATTTATTCTTTAACTGAGTATTATTAAATCTTCAATTAGTATATTCTTACCTTTCCTAAAAATATTTATATTTAGAGTTTTATATGTTCACAGAGTAGGTAGGTGTACAAGAAGATATTATCCAAATAATTTGTTTTCTCTTAAATAAAAAGCAGCCTTTCCCTAAAATATGTCTCACTTTTTATCCCCAAAATGTGCAGTGGCTTAATCACAGAGATTCAACAGTTACTTCTGAAGAAGAAAATTGAGCAAAAAGAACAAGAGCCATCTTTAGAAGTATAATAAAAGATGACTTTCCAAATCTGGAAAACAGTAAGTTATATGCCAGGCACTGTGCTCACTGCTTTATTCACATTAACTCACATAATATTCAAACCTGTGAGGGAGGTATATTAGATCTAAAGGAGATCTCAAATAATTTAAAATACCAGTCAGTTTTAATGACATTCTTTAAACAAATATAAAAAATCAAAACAATACTTCAGAATGTAAGTACAAACAAGAAGCCCTACATGTTTGGGAACCATCTAAATTACTAACAGATTATTTATAAAATACTCAACATGAAAACAAAGCATATGAAAAACCAGGTCATAAATCCACAGCTGTGTTAAGGAGGGGTGTTATCACTTCATGAGGGGTGTAAATGTCTATTACATTGTTTTGTATACCTGAAGCTAATAAATAAAAAAGTAAACTGATCTCTTGAAATGTTTTTTATTATTGAAAAACAAAAAGATAAACTAAGTATCAATTTTAAAAAGAACTAAAGATCAATATTTGATTTCAGGCAGGCAAAAAAATGTCTAAGTATAAAAGCAAAGAGAAAAATTACAAAAGGAAAGACAACTAGATTCAATACAAAAATCAAAAAACTTTGGTATGACAAAAAGTTACCCAAAGTAAAAGAAAAACAACAGGTTGGGGAAAATCTGTGCTATAAATAAAACAAGAGAACGGATTACTGTATTTTTTAAAGCTTAACTAAATCAGTAAGAAAACAAAATCAAGACCTTAAAATATGAATGGGCAACAGGTATAAGCAATTTTAGAAAGAATTCTAGCAAACATGAAAAATTCTAAAGCTTACCCAAAAAAACAAAAATTACAAATCACAAAAACAGTGTTTTTATCTGTTATAATATCAAATAAATGAATGCTAATACTCAAAATCAATTAAATCATTTTAGAACCAGCACTTTCATACAATATTGGTTGTACAAGCGTATTGCATGGGTTAGAACCAATAAAACCTATTAGAAACAAACCATTTGACTATCAAAGGAAATAATTATTCTTCTGACTCAGATTCTACTGCTTGAAATTTATTCTATCAAAGTCAAAATAAGGAAAAGATTTGTATGTGCTAATATGTTTACTACACTATTATTTATGAGAGTAAAGAACTGGAAAATGCAAATATCCAAAAATATAAAGGATTAAAATAAACAATGTCATATCCACTTGATTGACAGGTATACATGCATTAAAATAGATGACCCTGAAAACACCTAGAAACATGGACAATGTTTAATAAATTTTTTTATTTTTCTTGTAAATTTTCTGGTATATGATTAAGTACTTTCTTAATTAGATAAATATTAAGTATTAGAAAGTTTATGATGCTTTAGAATTAATTTCTATGTCTAATCTCACTATTTCAACACTAAGTATAAATTAGACATTATTACAAAATTTATTTTTAAGCAGGATTCCAAAGCAGTAATTTAAGTTTAATTTTTTACTTTGTTATATTCAACACAAGTTTAATCTACATTGACTTTAACACGTTCATAAAAAGAAATACTAAATTCTTTTGCCAGACAAAAAAGACCAACTCATTAGTCTTGCCTTAATTGTGTTTCTGTTTCTTCCAGATTTTCTATTTGTTTCAACATCCCTTCTTCTTGCTTTTTATGATTCTAAAGAAATAATCAATGTTGTTTATATTAATTATTTTGTTTCAACAAAATAAAATTGAAACTAATATTTAAGACCTTTATCTGTCACTATAAAATTCATTTATAGATAAAGAAAATGAGCTATTTAACTTGCATAGTTCTATATTACCTTTCCAGTCTTACTTGAATTATTCCCCTAACAATCTCTATACAGCAGCTAACAAAACAATTCTTACTTGCTGTTTCCCAGTGATACTTTAGACTTGTATCTTCTGTTTATATTGTTGTGACTTCAAGGAATTTTTTTCCACTCATTGTTACCTACTGAACTCATAATTACTCATCTTTTAAGACTAAAATCAATGCTATATTCTCTCTGAAGCCTTCTCTTCTACCTAGGCAGAATTGAGCCTGTGAAACTCAGATAACACTTCACAAACAACCCATACACTATTTTAAGTTATTTGAACATTAATTTTTTCTACTTTTTTGAGTTATAAGCTCCTAAAGAAGAAGGAAGGTATTTTATTTATCATTGTATCCTCCACTACATGATTTACTTAATGAATACTTGTTGAATAAATACTATATAAAAATGTTGGTGCTTAAAATTAGATTAACTTTATCAATGGGTAGCCTTTATATTCTGTTGCCCATTATCACCATTTAAAATCAATATGCATATTTATCTTCTAAAACAAAGTATCAGCTCTGACATAATCAGACTTGTAAAGCTAAAACAACCTTTTAGAGGTCATCTATTCTAATCCCTTAATTTTACAGGTAAGAAAACTAAGTCGCTGGTAGTTTCTTTTTCAACTCACATTAATATCTTCCTGCTGCTTCTTGAGTTCCATGGCCATATCACTTGTTTCTCGCGCTAGTTCTTTGTTCTCCAGAGAAAGCCTGTTGCAGCTTGTAGTTAGTTCAGTATTCTTAAACCTGGTTTTTAAAGACATGTCACAACATGCTGAGTAAACTGCTAACTTCTCATTTTTATCTAGTGCTAAGAAGCCACCAAAAAGGAAAAATCATGCTCACTACTAGACTGGCTACTTCAGTTTTTTAATATGAAGTTACATGATATGAAATTTAATTCAAAATAATCTTAGGGGAAAGGGATGAAGGGCTGGGGTTGTAAATGAAATCAGATGGCCATATAAGTGAATAATTTCTGAAGCTGGGTGATAAGCACATGCTAGTTCATTACAATATTCCCTCTGCTTTATACACATTTGAAATTTTTCTATAATAAATTTTTCAAGAGGTCATATATTTCCTTGCATATTCTCCACATACCTTATCCCCCACACTTTTCCACAAATTTTGAAGGGTGTATTATGTTCTTCATATAATTTTTTCTCTCTAGTAGACTGCCTCCCTAGATACTGTCTCAAACTTCTGATGATTTGATTATAGTAGTACATAAGGCATGAACTATTTTTAAATAAAATTAAGAAAACTAGGTTTAATCTTTATGCAGACACAAACTGCTCTTAACAAAGTCTCAAATGCTGTACACTGGAAGAGAGATTACTGCTGTTATTGGTAGCAACTAGGATCAATTTTAAATGAAGGAAGGGGATTGTGTGGCTCTATGGAACGATTTCGGGAGCAACTATTATCTCCTCCTACTTTACTGATGCTGGAAAGTCATCAAAAAGTAGATAAAGGGCCGGCTGAGTGGCTCAGTTGGTTAAGAGCTCGCTCAAAGGTTTGAGCTCTGAGCAAGAGCAGTTCGAGTCCGGCCCGAGCTGAGCTGCCGCTGAGCTGCCAACAGGTGGCAGGATGGCTCAGCTAAAAAATAAAATAATTAATTAATTAATTAATTTAAAAGTAGATAAAAAGTATAAATAACTAATCAATCAGTCTACTCATTAAAGGGGATTTTGGTTAATAGATGAATTTTACCCAGAGCCCCTAAAAAAGTACTGTTGAAAAGCAGGGAATGGGAGCTGAAAGGGAAGAAACAAGATGCTGAGTAAACTGCTTATTTCTCATTTTTATCTAGCCCTGAGAAGCAACCATAAAAGAAAAATCATGTTCAACCACTAGATAGGCTACTTGAGTTTACTTTTTTTCTCTCTGAATAATAACACAATAATCATTTCCTCCAATTTTCTCTTAAAATTAAACTTACTGAGTAGGTGAATCATTAAATTAAAATTTTTATTTGGACAATATAAGAAATGAATTTGTATTTTGTCATTTCATCAATACAAACCTATGCAATAATTTAGCAAAACAACCAAAATAACTGGTTAAAATTGCAAATAATTATTTTCATGAGAAACCAAATATCTCCAAGAAAAGTAATACATTGATCTAAAGCAGTTTTCAACTTCATGATGTGCTCTTTTTATGTCAATGATATTTACTTCCATTAGTAATGAAATTGATAAATTATTTTGATCTTTAGGAATAAAACACAACTTTAAGCCCATTCAAATAAATATTGAACATAATTTACTAATTTATTATTAACTACCATAATGCTTAGGAATTTAATATATAAGCTTTTTTATGATAGGTAGAAAACATACTTTTCATTTCCAAGCTCAGTTTTCAGCTCTTTAACCTGTTTTGAATACTGTTGTTCACTTGTCGCAATGGCAATTAATTGTATTTCCAAATCATGTACTTTTTTCTGAAAAATAAACATGTATAACCACAGCAAATGTTTTTACAATTTTCTCACTTAAAAATCTTGGTTACTTGCCGGAGACCAAGACCACCTTCTGGAGCTGTAAGGGAGAGGCTGGTGAAGGCACACTCTCTGGCTGTGTTTTTGTAAGTCTGACACAACAGCTCAGCATACAGAGGTGGTTTCCTTACACTGGTGATAAAGCATCCTGGGTCCGATACATTTGTTTCAACACTGGTAGCAAATATCCTGCAGTTTATGCATGGAAATCCTCTGTCCAAAACCATTTCCTCCCCTTCCTTGCTCGGCATAAACAAGGCTATATAAATAAGTAAACCACTGGCTGCTAGACGAGGCCACTGCCCTCCCATCAGGAGACAGTTGTTGTCCACCTAACACCCCCCTCCCCCTCCCTTTCAAGTATTTCTGTGTCTGTCTTTCTTAATCCTCCATTGCTCCCACTCTGGCCGTTCGACTAACTGCGCTGGATGTGGCAGCTACTCTATGTTAAGTAAGTCATATTTGGCAAAAATTTAGTAAGAATATGTCAAATTTTTAAATTTAAATTGATTTAATCCCATAACCACTATAATTTTAAAATGAACAATGACAATTGCAATATAAGTAAATTCTATCTTGATATTCTGAAGCTCAACCCATAAAATTATATTTGCATATTATAAAACATTTTATCACTTATGTTACCAAGTAATTAACTTCAATTAAATGTATTAATAATATTAATTAATAAAATCAGGTAATATCTTAAAAACTAAGCTGTTCTTACTATAATAAAAAGACAGTTACAATATAATACTATTATGGACTGAAAACATTCTTTTTCAAATAGAAAACATTCTAAAATTATAACATTAGCACTATAAAAATTATTGTAAACTAAGAACTTAATAAAGGCTAACTTTTCAATGTATCAATTAAGAAATACTCAAGACATTAAGAAATATAATTGCTATAAGACATGGCATTATGCATATACTATTGATATTTTAAATGCTGATCTTCTCTCCACATTATATAATGTGGAGGGCTCTCCAGATATGTTTTAAATCAATTAGCATAATAAATGTAGCAGGAAAACACTTTTTAAAGGAATTTTTGTAAAGAAATCTTTCACAAAGCTAATAGCTATAACAATCTATTCTGCAAATCTGTACTAACAAAATATGTGAAAGAAAAATGTATCCTTTTTTTTTATTGTGAAATACACATTTTTTAGAATTAGTTTCAGCTGTACAACCCAGTGCAATAGTTATACTTTTTACCCCTCGAGGTGACAACCCTTTTTAAACAAACCTCTCTAGTCTGGAGAAGACCAGTTAGTTCTTGTTCTGTTCCTTTTAATTCTTCAGCAATCTTCTCAAATTGTTTCTTTTCATCTAAAAGCTTTTGGTTTTCTGCCTATTTAAGGACATTAACAAATCATGACAACCAAGGTACACAACATATTCAAAATAATCAAACTGCCTAAATAAAGTTGTGGAGAAAATTATGAGTTTCTCTTTGGCTAAAATTTTTTAAAAAGAGAAAACAAATCATTATAAAATAAATTCTGAAACTAAATATGATGATCGAGGATTTAATGGACAGAGCCATGGAATTTTCTTATTTAAAAAAAATCATAACAGGTCATTGAAATCAAACCTTAACTCATGCATAAATCATTCCAATTTATTAGCATGTATTAGTCACTCAATATTCTATCAATCCCGTTTCTCCTTATGTTAACAAAAATGTGCTTTCCTGTAACTTTATGCAATAATGATTGTTCTGCCTTTTTTAATCACATAGAAGTCTAATTCCTCTTTCATCTGGTAAGTGATAAATATTTGAAGAGAGTTATCACTCCTTAACTTTTCTCTTAACTATTGTAAAATCTTTGATTCTTATTCTTCTTCCTATGAAATAGTTTTAAATTACCTTATACCATCAGGATGGGCTCACTTTGTCAATATACCATTTTAAATAAGGTGCCAAGAATTAAATTCAACGTTCTAGACAACCAAGGGTCAGCAAACACAGCCCAGGGGCCAAATCTGGCCACTGCCTGTTTTTAACAAAGCTTTACTGTAATACAGCCAATCTATTTGTTTATGTATGATCTATGCCTATTTCGCCCTATAACAGCAAAGTTGACTAGCTGCATCAGAGACCACATGGCTCAAAAAGTGTAAAATTTTACTAAAAGGACAACAGGGAATGCTACAAACAACTCTATGCACAGAAAGTTGACAATTTCTGTGAAATGGATTATTTCCTTAAAAACCACAAACTACAAAAATCACCCAAGACAAAACAGATAACCTGGACAGCTCTATAACAATGAAAAAAAATAAGTTCATAGTTTACAGTCTTGCCAAAAAGGTATTTCTAGGTCCAGATGATTTCACTGGAGAATTCTACCAAACATTTAAAGAAGAAATAACACCAATTCTACACAATCTCTTCCAGACAACAGAAAGACATGCTTCCCAACTACGAAGCCAGATTCTAAAACCAGACAAAAACAATCCAAGTAAAGAAAACTACAGACCCAATAGCTCTCATGAATACAAAAACAAAAATGCTCAACAAAGTATTAAAACAAGGGCCAGCCAAAAGGCTCAGTTGGTTAAAAGTTAGCTTAAGAGCGTGAGCTCTGAGCAACAGGTTTGCCAGTTCGATTCCCACATGGGCCAGTGACGCTGCACCCAAGCTGAGCTGTCACTGAACTGCCAACAGGTGGCAGGATGGCTCAGCTGGTGAGAGCACATGCTCCTAACAACAAGACTGTTTGTTTATGGTGGGTTACGCCCGCCCGCAACTAAGACTTAACTCGGCACCTTGAGCTGAGCTGCCACCCGGATGGCTCAGAGGCTAGAGCATGAGCTCTTAACAACAAGGTTGCTGGTTTGACTCCCGTATGGGATGGTGCCTACACCCACCCACAACTAAGATTGAACACAGCACTGTAAGCTTAGAGGCCACAAGCTGCCGACGGGCAGCCAGATGGCAACTGGCGTCCTCCACAACTAAGATTAAAGAACAACAACTTGGCTGGTCCCTTTCCCCAATTCCCCAACACTGTTCCCCTCCCGCAATTCCCCAATTAAAAAATAAAGTATGTATTAAATACATACACACACACATATATATTAAAACAAATTCAACAATATAGTAAAAGAGTAATACACCAAAGTGGGGTGTATCCCAGAATGCAAAGCTGTTTCAGTGTTTGAAAATCAAATACAGCATATCAGTAGTACAAAGAAAAACCACATCATATCAATTAACAAAGAAAAAGCATCTGACTTACACCTGAAACTAATATAATAAAAAAGTATATAGATGATGTATTATAGAATTGTACACCTGAAACCTATGTAACTTTACTAACAATTGTCACCCAATAAACTTTAATTAAAGAAAAAAATGTATAAAAAAAGCATCTGACAAAATTGAACATAAATTTATAATAAAAAGTCTCAACAAACTAGGAATAGAAAGGACCTTCTAAAAAAAAAACTGCAACTAACATCATGTTTAATGGTGAAACAACTGAATGTTTTTCCTTTAAGATCGGGACATGTATATCAAAGAAATGTACATGCTCATTACTCCTATTCAACATCATACTGGAAGTCTAGGCTAGTGCAGTTAGAGCAGAAAAAAAATAAATATAACTGTCCCTATTTGCAGACAACATGATTGTCTACAGAAAATTACAAAAAAGTTGAAGAAAAAAACCTCCTAGAATTAGTGAATTTAAATTTAGCAAGATTGCAAATACAAGGTCAATGCACACAGCCATCACATTCCCATCTACTAGTGATGTACAACTGGAAAAATATTTTTAAATACTACTTAAAACACTTTCAAGATAAGAAATATTTAGCTATAAATATAACATTACATGTACAGGATCTGTACACTGAAAACTAAAACATGCTAATAGAAGAATCAATTGAGATCTATTATAAATGGAGATCGATACCATGTTTATGTAGTAAAAGACTCAACATAGTAATGATATCAATTCAACTCAGCTTGACTTACAGATTTCACATAATTCCAATCAAAATTCCAGTAGGACTTTCTTATACATAGACAAGCTAATTCTAAAATTTATATGGAAAAGTAAAGGAACTAGAATAGCTAAAACAGTTTTGAAAAAAAAATAATAAAGCCGGAAGAATCACACTACCCAAATCTAAGTCTTACTGTAAAGCTACAGGAATCAAGACACTGATATATTGATGAATAGATAGACAGATAGATCAAGAAAAACAGGAACAGTCCAGAAACAGACCCACTCAAATACAACCAATTGAGTTGTTATAAATGTACAAAGCAACTCAATGAAAAAAGGAGTCTTTTCAACAAATGGTAATATCACCCTTACATCAGTCCGAAGTATTTAAATCTTAAATATCTCTCAAAACCATCCACTTTTTCTCACTACCACCTCCCAGCCTAAGCAATAATCCTCTCTTCTGACTAATGTGATTGTCTGTCTACTCTTAACTGTCCTATCTGTATTTATTGTTCTCCACACAGCAAGCCAAATGAGCTTTTCAAATCGCAAATCTGACCAAGTCACTCCCTGCTGAAATTCTTTAGAACTTCCTATTTGTCTTAGGATACATACAAAGTTATCTATATATGATTTCAAAGGCCATGAATTGCCATGCTCCTATTACCTAACTCTCCAGCCTCATTTTGGACCACTCTTCTTTCATTTCATGCTGTACTCACCATACTCCTTTCCATCAAAGAATCTTTGCAAAAAACATGTCTTTTACCTGATAAGCTCTTCCCTTCCTCTCTAGATATCATTTCAATCTTTACTTTAAAAAGAAAAAAAGCCTCTCCTGGGCCGCCCACCGGCAGCTCAGCTGCAGCTCTGCTCAAGTTGTTGTCTTCAATCTAGTTGAGGAGGGCACAGCTCACTGGCCCTCATGGGAATCGAACAAGAAACCCTGTTGTTCAGAGCGCACGCTCTAACCAACTGAGCCACCAGACCACCCCAAAATATTTCTGATCTAGTCCTTTACAAAAAAGGTTTGCCAACCCATGATCTACACACTGTAATCAACTAAAGTATAATGAAGCCTTATCCTAACAAATTCATTAAACATGATTCTACCTAAACACTAAACATAGTATTGAATATATATCATAGATATCTTTCTCAAAATTGCAGCTTTGTGGCTCAAAGGTACCAAAGGCACACCAAATTTACAATCAGATACATAACATGCCTATTTGATCTTAAACACACTTTCAACATGTGTTCAAACAGCATAAAGACACCAACACAGTTATCAAGATGTATAAGAATTAGTACAGACAAGAGTGTGGCTTTGCTAAAAACCAAATGTAATTTTTTTATATTTTAGCTGAAAAAACTAGCATGAAACGTCTATAGTGTGAAAGTCTAAGTCAGTGGATTTGAAAAGTAATTGCTATATATTAATGAGAAACTATATACTTACCAAGATTTTTTTCAATTCTTCAAGTTCTACTTCTTTGTTATTTTTAAGCTTTGTAATCTCTTCTAAAATAAGCAAAAGAATATAAATGTGTTAAAATTTGGATTAAAAGAATAGGAAAGTAAAGTCAAGAAATAAGAATAATACCATTTGAAAGAGGAAAAACTTGGAGATGGATTAATGCAACTAGAGTACTGTAAAGCACAGAGGAAGTTCAAATGGAACTATACAAAAATAATGAATATTAATAATATTTCTATAAAGTTGATTCCACAACCAAATGAGTCCAAAGTTCATTAAGCAAAATACACAATCAATCTATATAAATGTACATTTGGAAATAGGTCACTCAGCATGTGCCTTTACCTTCAACTCATCACTACCAAAACATCTGGCCTCTTAATCTTCACTCCTAACTTAAAAAAAGTGACCCACTTAAGTCAAGCTAACTCTGATCATTGTACTCTGGGTCTCAACATTCCTACCTCCTCAGAGACTTTAGCTGTCAAATTCCAATATACACTGACTCTCTGCAGAAGAATCTTTAATTTCCCCCATCACATCTATTTGAATATAAAACAAAAATATCTGATTGACCTTTCTGCCTTTTCCTACTGTCAATTTTTGTCTGTTTTGCAAATTCCTATTTGTTATCTACAAATTTCTTCCTAATCCCATGCAAAACTAATGCATATCTCCATGACATTAATAAAATTATGGTCTCAACGATCACCAATAACCATTTAGTGGTGCCTTTTTTTTTTTAAAGACTTTATTGGTGAATAGGTAAAAGGGGAACAGACAAGGTGCTGTCCTTTTTGTTATTCAGTCTAGTTGTGGAGGACGTCGCTTCACTGGCCGATGTTGGTATTATCATTACGCTCTTCCTGGGTGAGGCAGTCGCTTGCAGGCCATTGGACGGCGGCTCACGGCTGCTGGCCACTCAGGCTGGCTGCCAGCCACTCATGGTAGCTTATGGCAGCCCACTGCAGCAGGGGCTGCAGCCGATGCCGACGCCGGAGACTCACCACAGCCCAGCTCCAGGTCAAACTGTTCTTCACTATCTTAGCTGTAGAGGGCGCAGCATCACTGGCCCACATGTGGAATCTGAATCGGGGCCCTGCTGCTCAGAGCTGGCATCCCAAGCGCCAACTCTTAACCAACGCGCCACTCAGCAGGCCCTATGATTCCATTTTTAACAGAAATCCTCTCATACCTGTACCACTGAAATCTGATTTGATTTCTCCAATTTGATTTCTATCAATCTGATTTCTCCAATTCTACTCTTTCCTCACTAACAGCACTCTCCATCCACCACCAAATTTATCTGCCATACAGAAGTTACAGTGATCCTTTAAAAATATAAATCAGATCATGTCATTCCTCTACTTAAAATCTTTCAATGGTTTTCCTTTGCTATTAGAATAAAATCAAATTTTCTTTCCTTGGGCCTATTTGATTTGGTCCAAACTCATTTCATTCCCCTTTCCATATCACTTCTTACACTCCAATACAAAGGCTTTCATTCAGTCACTTGAACTAACCAAGCTCCTTCACACTCAGAGCATTTTTACATGCTTTTCCTTCTGACTGAAAAACTCTCTCCAACTCACGTCTTACCTAAATTTCACTTATTTTTTAGGTCTAAATTAGGCCTATTATTGTCTTACATTGCATCATTTTCATTTCCTTCAAGGTACTTATCTCAATTTGTAATTAAATACTTACTTGTGATTATTTGTTTTATGTCTCCCCAAGTAGATTCACTAGAACAAAGACCATGTCTATTATGTTCCTAATTAAATATCCCAAGCTAATTGAGGAATAAAAAACTCAGTCTAAATTCAATAGTTATATTATCTAATATCAATATATTATCTAATAAGAATGAGCAGCAGCAATAGAAAACACTAGAGGGGGTATCTGTTACATAACCAGAGTGGACACAAACACAGGTACAAAGAGAAAAATGATCACAGGAGCAAAACCTATTTAGAGCAGTTCAGACTGAATTCAAGATGGGAGACACTTAAGAATCAAAGCAAACTGTACCAAGAAACTGAGAAAAAGTTATTTGACAAAGATTTTGTATTTATAGTTGGCTTTAACTAATTTAGAATACACTACCTCACTCTTTAAATGAACCATGAAAAGCTGATATTTAAAGAGTTTAAAGTTAGGCAATGAGATGAATAGTCAGATTTGTTAATTTTAAAGAAACAATCTAGCATCAGTGCGGAAAAAGAACAAAAGGTAGACAAAACTAGAAACAAAAAGATGAATTCTCAGGCTACTGCAATTAGTTCTAGTAAAAGATGTCTGGTCCAGAACTGAAGCCAAGATATAAGAAAGGGGTAGAGCAGGCTGTATTTGAGATGGGGACAATGCAGGCAGATGAAGGAATACTCAAACCAAGATGGAAGCCTAAGAAAATATCATCAAGGAAGAATGCAAAGTACAGCCAGGAAACAAAGCAGTAAGAATGAAGGCTATTGCAGTAAGAAAGCAGCTTATGGGGAAAAAAGCAAAGCAAATAGAGGCCTAATAAATATAACAAGGGATGAACAAAGATGAAAACAAACAGGTGTAATCTGAAGTATGGTTGGATGATTAATCTGCCAAATACAACTTGTGTTACATTGTTACTCACATGCATCCCTCCTCTGCTAGGCTAAGAGAATGTGCTTGAAACTCTAAACACCAAGAACGAGGAAATGAGGATTAAATTTCATGAGCTAGATATTAAGAGTTAAACACAACAGACTACTGGATAATCATCAGAAGTGAAAGGTGAGGGAGAAAGAAGAGTACAGAATATCCTCCAAGATGTTTAGTTTTGAGAACTACTGTATAGCATTAGCCAAAGAAGGAAAGAAACTAATGTTGAGTGCTTACATCATTGCTAGTGCTACTCTCCTACACATAATGCTTTCCACACTCCATCATTCTCTACAACTACTGAAAGCCTCTCTATGACCTTCAAGTCTACTTTTAAAATCTACCTCTTCTATAAAGACTTTTCCAACTCTGCAACCAACATTGGTACCACTGGCTTCCTCCTGTTATCAGCATTAACACATCTCCATCAATAGGAAATCTCTGAGCATTCACCCAAATACATAAATATGTATAAAATGCAAATACATATTTTATATAAACGTGTAAAATATAAATGTGCATTATATTATAAAACTAATGTAAAAAAGGAAAACAAAAATATATAAAAAGCATATCTAATATATACTTCCCTTCTAATAGAATTCTTGCTCACCCCCTCATTTTGAAAACATTACTCTAATGGTTTTATGTGTTCAACCTTTCTCCCACAGTAATTAGAGATTTCTCAAGAAGACGGTATTTTACTTCTTGTTTACATTCCCCCAGCATCTAAGATAATGCTAAGGAGAACATACAGAACTGTTCCACAGTTCCTGAATAATATACTGCTATGAGAAAAATCACATTATGCATCTGATTTTTCAATATAACAATAACAGTCACTTAATTTCAATATCAGACTGAATTGTTACAAATATATATCCATTAAACATATTTTAAGGACTAAAATTATTCCTTAGTCTACAATATTCAATTGAACAATTCTAAAGAAAGCAGATACAGTAATACCTCAGTTTGCGAGCATAATTCATTCCGGAAACAAACTACTCATATTACAAGACATCGCTTGTTTATCAAGTTAAAAAGTATTAGTAGGTTGGTGCAAAAGTTAATAGTGGTTTTTGCCATTACAAGTAATTGCCAATTACAAGTAATGGCAAGCACCACTATTATTATTGCACCAACCTAATAGAAATGTTTGCACGTCTTGCGGAACACTCGCAAACCAAGTTACTCGCAATCCAATGTTTTATTGTATATGCAGTGCTTTATAACAGTACTGTATGCTCTAAAGGAAGATTTAAAAATTGGATGAAAAATGCATTTACAAACACTAATGTAAAATAATATTAAAATAATAAAATTATTTATCATTGGATAGTACAATTTTGGATGCTCAATACTATAGACTAACTATAGTAGAAAATTAAGCATTACAAAAGGATAAGAATAAAAAGGGTTTAAAAGTTCAACCAAATATCCGAACATAGAAATATCACTTACAATTATTTTAATTATACAAGTATTCAAAGCATATAATAAAGCTTACAGAAAGTTATTGGGATTTTCAAGAATAACACATGCCAATTCATGAATTACTTTAATTTACTAATTAACTATATTAATAATTCTTTTCACCAAAATCGGTAAAAAAAAAGTGTTTTATATATATATATTTACAATTCTCCACATGTAGATATGAAGGTTTGTAAATATAAAGCATAGTTACTAAAATTATCTAACTAAATTGTCATAAATTCACAGAGTAACTATAGAATTTGTCCATGAAAGCTGTTGAATATTAACACCGCCACATGGTAAAATAGGGTCACACTTTCCTATAAATAGTTCATAATCTAACATGACTAATCAATGACATTTCAAATTCAATTAAAGTGTAACAGACATTTCTCACTAAGACTTATTAAGGCCTCTGAATCTTAAAATAAGGAAAACAGATTATAAACATCCCTTAAGCTCCTTTTACTTCCAGGTATATCTATGAACTGCATAATGAAACTGAATAGTCTTTCTTAAGGTTTAAATTTTCTATCTCTAAAAATCAAATAAAAAATTATCAAATACTCTCTATTGGTAAATGACAGAGGAGAAACTATATTTTATTCTGAAATAGTGTTTATGTTTTATAATTGGCTAATATTATCATGTACACATATTATTCTCTAAATCTTACCCAGTTCACTTGATTTCTTCTGAAGCTCCACGGTAAATATTTTCAATTGATCCTCACTTTTTCCCAATCTTGTAAAAAATATTATTAGTTTACAATGTAAAATATTCTTTTAGTCAGAATTCATCTAGTAACTAAAACTGGTGCAATTTAGCAACAATATATCTTAGCACAGATTCACTCATTCAATTATTAAACATTTTTGAGTACCTACTTTGTACTTGAGTGTAACATTTCAAAAGATATTATTATAAATACAGTTATATATTAAGCCTAAATAAAACCTTAATTAAAGCTTGTGGTCACAATTTATCTCTTAGCTATTGATGATAATCAAATTAATGCATCCTAGAACTTTGAGGGAGATTGAATATGTAACTACTATTATCCTGAATTGAATTCTGCCTTAAAAACAATATAAATATGAAAACTTGTGCAATTTGTTTAGCTCGTCTGGCTTTTTGTTTCCTTGCTGGTAAAACTGAGGTAATTGGAACAGATGATATCTAAGGTCACTTACAATTTTGAAATTTGAAAATCAACTCAAGAGGTCAATCAAGAATACGTAAGATTAGCTGAGCTAGAAAAGCTAGCTGTTATTCCTTTACCATACACAAGCAGTAGAGAAGAAATACTGCTAGGCGCAGGTCATGACTTCAGAGGGAAACTTGTTTCTCTCTTTCATCCTACTTAATTAACCCTAATGCTAATGGGCCAAGAATAATTACATAGGCCTCATAACAGCTTTATATGAATTTTTTCTTAATATAAAATAGTAAAAAACAAAGCAAATTTTTAACTCAAGTTTTAGACAAACTGCTATTTAGATGAAATGCAAATGAATAGTTTATTTTACATGTAGTTAATCATATTCATTAATCCATTAATTTAATAAAAATGTTTGAGTACCTACTTTGTACCAGGCTAGTTGCTAATTTTATAAATCAGAGAGGTTACAGACCCCAGTTAAATAAGCCTCACTTCTCCACAGGAAGTTATTTCTATGAAGCTAATAATATTCAACAGTTTAATTAAATATGTCATATCACTGCATCGGCACTTATCAGATTGTCTATTTAGCTGGCAAAGCAGGCATGGAAACTATCCTAGAGAATACTGTCTTTTCCTAGGATACCCGCCTACCCAATACAAACTTTTAAAATGTATTCCCACTTTATACAATAAAAAAAAATAGCTTGGTTATGGTTGTTATAGGAATTATAAGTCAATTGACAATGAATAGAAAATGGCACTGAAAATTAGAAATAAATTGTCTTTATTCAGCTAAATAAATATTTTTACCTTTGATGTTCTGTTGTCAATAATTCTTTCAAGTTGGAGACAGTAGTTTTAAGTTCAGTAACCACAAATGCATGAGCAGTTTTAGCTTTATTAAAATCTTCCATTTGAGCTTCTTTTTCTCCAGTGAGCTGATAGATTTTTGTTGTTGCTACCTGTAAATCTTCCTCTAAAGCCTTTAGAGTACTCTAAATGAAAAGCACAAAACAAAAGCTATGACCCAAGGGCTTTAAGAAAAAAAGCTGAACTCATCTACTTCTGTAATTTGCTGTCCCTCCCTCCCTCATCCTCTCACTCCTCTACTCTAACCAACCCTGGCCAATCTGGAATGCCCACCCACCACTCTTTTTTTTTTTTTTTTTTTTTTTTTTTAGTTGAGCCATCCTGCTACCTGTTGGCAGCTCAGAGGCTGCTCAGCTCGGGCTGGACTCAAACCGCTGTTGCTCAGAGCTCAAACTCTTGAGCGAGCTCTTAACCAACTGAGCCACTCGGTCGGCCCTTCCACCACTCTTATTTCAATTCACCATTCCTCCAAAGCCCACCTACATTCCCAGCCTCTCCATGGAGTCTTCCTAGACAATCCAGCACATAGTGTTCTCTCAATTCTTAGAACTACTGTAGCAAATTTTGCCTGAATCACACTGTGGGTACCTAGGCATGGTCTTGTATTTTAGTTATACTTTTGATGTGTTTTTATCCAATGTCTGTAATTAAACTAGTATATAACCAGTTTGTAGACATAGACTGTATCATCTGTTTGAAACTCTTGTACCTAATACTATCATTCGATAAATATTTGTTGACTGATGGACAATGTGAGACTTATCACATGCTAATTAGTTTTTAAATCATACCACACTTCTTTGCAAAGACATTTTAGAATCTTCTAGTTCTGATGTCAAATGATCCTGCTTCTTATTTGATTCTTTTAAGTTTTCATCCAGTAATTCTGAAAGAGAAAGTTGTAGATGGGTAGTACTTAACAGAAAACACATACCAAGAAAACAGATTATCTGTAACAATTAGTTTTTTCCTCCATTAGATACTCCACAATGATGGAGAATTATGCAAATATAAGTGCATTCATGTTGGTCATCATCAACTTTTATTGACTACTCAAGACTGTTATCTCCCAAGCATGCAAAGGTGAATGATTTTTGGTGCTACATTTTTAATAATAGCTAAACAATGGAAACAGCCTAACTATCCAACAGGAGATAGATTATAGTGGTACATACATACAATGGTATAAAATGTAGCCACTGTAAATAGAAATACAGGCTTTATTTATTGATTACTAATTTAGATATTTATAAAATATCATAGAATAAAAAGGGCAAGTTAAAAACAGTATTTACATAAATAGTGCATATAAAAGGAGAGAATTCATGCAAAAATATTAAAAGTAATTTATGTCCTAATGATGAAATTATTCATTTTGTTTTCATTATTGCTATTTTGAGTTTTAGATTTTCTAAAATATATTTATTTAAATATTATTTTTAAAAGCTTTTGACTCCAATTAACGCTAATGTTTACTAAATATTAAGTGCCAGGTACTACTCTCTAGAGGTGCTTTCATGTGTGCATTCACTTTTTTTTTTAATTCATGTTTTTATTTAAGTAGATATAGAATCTTATATTGGTCACAATAGCTTCAGGTGTACACTATAGTGATTTGACATTTTTGTACCTTACAATGTGATATCCCACTAGTTCTAGTAATAATCTGTCACCGTGTAAACTTATCACAATTAACTATGTTCCTCTTTCCCTTTTCACTCATCATCCCACACCCTCCCTTCTGGTAACCAGCACTTTGGTCTCTGTTTCTATGAGTCTGTTTGAGTTTTGTTTTGTTCATTGTTTTTGTTTGTTTTGTTTTTTCGATTCCACATACAAGTGAAACCATATGGTATTTGTCTTTCTTTTCCTGACTTATTTTACTTAGCCTAATACCCTCTAGATCTATCCATTTTGTCACAAATGGCAAGATTTCATTCTTTCTTATTGCTGCATAATATTCCATTTTGTGTGTATATGTTTGTGTGTGTATATATATATATATATATATACTCATATATCATGTCTACTTTATTCATTCATCTATCAGTGGACACCTAGCTTGCTTCCATATCTTGACTATTATAAATAATGCTGCAATGAACAAATGGGTGCATATGCCTTTCTGAATAAATTTTTTTGTTTTCTTTGCATAAACACCCAGAAGTAGGATTACTGGGTCATATGGTACATCTATTTTTAGTTTTTTTGAGGAATCTCCATACTGTCTTCCATAGGGGCTGCACCAGTTTGCAGTCCCATCAACAGAGTACAAGGGGTACCTTTTCTCCATGTTCTCACCAACACATCATTTGTTGACTTTTTGATAAAAACCATTCTGACAGGTGTAAGGGAGTAGTTTGTTCTGCTTTTGATTTGCATTTCCCTGATGATTAGTGATATTGAGCATCTTTTCATATGTCTGCTGGCCATGTGTATGTCTTCCTTGGATAACTGTCTTTTCATGTCCCCTGCCCATTTTTCAGTCAAGTTACTATTTTTGTTATTGAGTTGTATGAGTTTCTATTATATTTTGGATATCAATCCCTTATCGGGCATATCATTTGCAAATATATTCTTCCGTTCAGTATGTTGCCTTTTTGTTTTATTGAAGGTTTCCTTCTCTGTGCAGAAGCTTTTTAATTTGATTTAGTCCCATTTGTTTATTATTGCTTTTGTTTTCCTTGCTTGAAAGAATTCAATAAAATAGCAGGACACAAAATTAATATACAGAAATCTATTGCATTCCTATACACTAACAATGAACAATCAGAAGGAGAAATGAAAACAACAATCCCATTTACAATTGCATAAAAAAAATAAAATACAATACCTAGGAATAAACATAACCAAGGAGGTAAAATACCTGTACTCTGAAAACTATAAGACACTGAAGAAAGAAACTGAGGAAGACACAAATAAATGTAAGGATGCATAATGCTCATGGATTGGAAGGATTAATATTGTTAAAATGGCCATACTACCCAAAGTAATTGAGAGATTCAATGCAATTCCTACCAAAATACCAATGTGACTCTTCTCAGAACTAGAACAAATCATCCTAAAATTTATATGGAACTACAGAAGACCCAAATAGCCAAAGCAATTTTAAGAAAAAAGAATAAAGTTGGCAGTGTCACAATCCCTGATCTCAAACTATACTACAAGGCTATAATAATCAAAACAGTATGATACCAGCACAAAAACAGACACACAGATCAATGAAAAAAAATAGAGAACCCAGAAATAAACCCTCATTTATATGGTCAAATAATCCATGACAAACATTGGTAAAAATGTACACTGGAGTATTAACAGTCTCTTCAACAAGTGGTGTTGGGAAAACTGAACAGACACATGCCAAAAAATGAAACTGAACCACTCTCTTACACCATATTAAAAAATAAACTCAAAATATGTTAAAGACTTAAATATGCATTCACTTAAAACATCATGAAAACACTAGGGGGGGGGGAAATGTCATGCTCTTCCCTGGGTTCAAATTATTCTATATCCTCTTAATACCTACCTACCCTTAAACATGATACTCAACCAGTCTGACTCTACTTTTCCCACTGGAAAATGAGAATTATAGTTACTCATACCTTGAAGGGCTGCTGTTAGGATTAAAATAGATAATGCAAATTAAGATGTTTAACTACAGTATCTAACATATAGTCAATAAATGTTAAATACGATGATGATGATGATGATGATGAATGAGTATGCTACAACATGAACCTTAAAATTCATGGTATTTACAACATACTTGGGCAGGCAGACAAATAATCAATGATAAGTGCTGATGGGTATTCACTAGGAATTCTGGAAATATACATAGGGGAGGGAATACTTAAGCCAAATAGGATCAATAAGGGTTAGAGGTAAAGGGGAGATAGACATAGAAAGGGAAAGTTCAAGGAAGGCTTCCAGAAAGTGACAGCTAAATTGAAACATCTGAAAGCCAGTAAGTATTAACAAAAGTTATGGGAGCTGGGGGGAGTAAAGAAGACCACAGGCACGTGAAAGAGCATGTACAAAGGCAAAAATGGAAGAGAGAGAGTGACGCATTCTGGAGAGAGAATGACAAGATCATAACAGGGTTTATGTGACTTGCTGAGAGGTGTATGCTTCATAAAGTCAGGGAGACCGTTAAAAACAATAAAGTATGTTGAGCAACAGAATGATCTTATGATTGTATTTTTTAAATTTTCATTCTGAAAAAACTGTAGAAATGAAAGGATTAGTGGTCCAACTCTGGGAAAAAAAATAGGAAAAGCTAATATGGAGAGGGAAATGATAACTAACCCTGTGGTGTCCACTATGATATTATTTATCATAGTCTGGTAATAAATGTCTCCTCTAGAAATCATTATCACAAATTAGTCCTTAGGCACGTGCAGGCACTGAATTTATGCTGCCTGAATGTTCTTAAAAAAAAAGCTCCAAGCCAAAACTTAATTTGAAGCGCCCCTAAGCTCCCCCAGGATTCCAGAAGCAGCAAATGTAAATTTTCTCTATAAAAATATAGTTGCAACCCAGGCCTTAAAAAGTTTCTAAAGATGAAGTTACATAACCTCACAATCAAAAATCACAAGAGGAAACAAAGCACCATAAGCAGAGTCAGAAGAATGAATAAAAGGCAGACTTGGACCTTCCAAGCTTTCAGATGTTAGAATTACTGCCTATGGATTTTTAAAAATAAGTATTATATCAATCTTTAAAAACTAAAATAGGTAAGGAAGATGTCCATATACTAAATAAAACTTCTAGAAACAGCATATAAAACTTAAACTGGAGCCGGTCGCATGGCTCAGTTGGTTAAGAGTGCGAGCTCTGAGCAACAGGGTCACCGGTTCAATTCCCACATAGGCCAGTGAGCTGTTCCTGAGCTGAGCTGCCAAAAGACGGCAGGATGGCTCAGCTGAAGAGCACGTGCTCCTAACAACAGGGTTGCCGGTTCGACTCCTGCATGGGATGGTACACAGCAACTTGAGCTGACCTGACCTAAGCTGCCAACAGGTGGCTGGATGGTTCAGTGGTTAGAGCATGCACTCTTAGCAACAAGGTTACCAGTTCAACCCCCCACATGGGAAGATGGGCTATGCCCACCTGCAACTAAGATTAAACATGGCACCTTGAGTTGAGCAGCCGTGAGCTGCCCATGGGCAGCCAGATGGCAACTGGACTTGGAGCTGAGCTAGCTGTGCCCTCCAAAACTAAGATTGAAGGACAACAACTTGGCTGTTCCCCTTCCCCAATTCCCCAATAAAATCTTTTTAAAAACCTGAAACTGAAAACTCCATTGGGGTAATGAGTGAGGTATGTCACTCAAATATTCCTCCAAAGAGAAATAAAAATTCAGGATCAAATATTAAGAATATTAAAATCAAAGCCGGCCAAGTGGCTCAGTTGGTTAAGAGCTCGCTCACGAGTGCGAGCTCTGAGCAACAGCATTGCTGGTTCCATTCCCAGCCTGAGCTGAGCTGACACTGAGCTGCCAACAGGTGGCAGGATGGCTCAGCTAAAAAAGAGGGAAAAAAGAATATTAAAATCATTAAACTCCTGACAAAATAAGAAAAATTACCAGACCAAAAGTGAAGAAAAAATAGAAACCTGGAGAACTAAGAACACAGAGCCTGCTTTTACCCTGAGGGCATTTGCAGATCCTGGAAAAATTGGACTTTTGATTTGAAATCACAATAGGGTGAGAAAAAATGAACACCCAAAGACTACGAGGTGTGATCAAACAATACAGTGAATATTTAATTAAAACTTTATTACAGTAAAAGACACATTGCCATTAATTCCCCTCAAAATACTCCCCCTCACTTCGAACACACTTATCCCATCGTTCTTGCCACTTTCTGAAGCAGTTCTAGAAGT